CGTTACTTCTCCTGACATCTACTCTCCGGAGAGAGCAGGGGCTCCACTGTACCTGCTTCCTGGTTCATGCTGTCCCCTGAGTCATGTGGCTGGCTCCTTCTCCTCCTTCAGGTTTTTGTCCTCCAGCTCCTCCTAGCTCTGAGGCCCAGGCTGCAAAGCTGCCTGCGATGGACACCCACAAGGTGTCACGCTATTGGGGGATGGGGCCTTCCATGTCTTCTGTCATGGTGATTGGATCGCCCCGTTCATTTACTCACCAAATCTTTACTGAGACCTGCTTGGGCCAGAAGCTGTGTAAAATTCTGGCACCGCAGCAGCGGATAAGACAGATGCAATAGGACATACAATAACTAGGTAAAGAGGTAATCTAATGTCAGGTGAGGGGCAAGTGTGTGGAAATGAAGCAGGGTGCAGAGGTGGGTAGAGGATGATGGGGGCGCTTCATTGGATGGGGAAGACGGAGGCAGTGATTGGCACGGGAGGAGAGCAGACATGCATGGTCAACAACGAGGACCGTTTATTGAGCACTTTCTTCATGCAGGTCATGCTCTATCCTCAGTGAGTCTTCCCATTCCTCCCCAAAACAGTTGCTTAAAACAAGACCGACTTACTACTTCTCACAACTCTGTGTACTGGCCGGCAGTTTCTCTTCTGGTTTTACCTGGGCTCATTCATGCAGCTTCATTCAGCGCCCACCTATGTTTGAAGGTCCAAGATGGCCTTATCCATTTGCCCAGCAGCGGTGAGGGAAATTTTGTTTGCAGCCTCTCATCTTCCAGAGGACTGGCTTCTTTTTATTTATTTATTTATTTATATATATTTTTGATTTCAGAGAGGAAGGGAGAGAGAGAGAGAAACATCAATGATGAGAGAAAATCTTTGATCGGCTGCCTCCCGCACGCTCCCCACTGGGGATCAAGCCCGCAACCCGGGCATGTGCCCTTGACTGGAATCGAAGCCAGGACCCTTCAGTCCACAAGCCAATGCTCTATCCACTGAGCCAACCTGGCTAGGGCAGGACTGGCTTCTTCACGTGGAGTTCTCAGGGCAGAATCCTGGGCTCAAAAGTCTCATAAAGTCACTTCCTCACATTTTATTGATCAAAGCAAGTCAACACCAGTCTGGAGCCCATTTGTTCCTTATTGGCTCTCTTGCATCATATGCCCATTCCTGGACCAATCACTAGCGGGGGGATAAGATTACCCTTAGACCCATCAGGGTTTCTCAGAGATCTAGGGTTGAAGTCACTTCCTGAGGCTTCCGGACTGACTAGTGGGTGGCGGTGTGGGTGGACACTCGAGAAAAAAAACTGCAGGCAAGGGAAGGGTCATTGCTAACCGCTGTTAACTTGGGTGAAACCTCTTTCTAGGTATTTCACAGATGCAAATCAATGCAAGAGGTCTTCCTGCCCGCCACACTGGTACTGAGCGCGCTTTGCTGGGACCATGGCCTGAATGGCGCCGGTTTCCTGGGTACAATCACGACAGGACTCTTCTTTTTAATGGGAGCAAGTGGAGATAACAGATTAAAACCATGTTTCAAAAACTAGACTAAAACACAGATAACATTTTGAAAACTATTTAGATAATTTCAAATTTACAGAGAAGTTGCAAGAATAGTACAGAGAACTTCCGCATCTCCTTCACTCAGATCCCCTAATTGCCAGCATTTTGCTACACGTGGAGTTGTTATTCTTTGTCTGTGTCATTTTTATGACTCATTTAGGAGTTACATTATAGACACAAGGTCCTTTTACCCCTAAACTTCACCGCCCACCTCCTAAGAATCAAGACATTCTCTTACTTGACCATAGTATAGTTTTCAAATCTGGAAATTTCACGTTGATACAAAGTTGTAATATAATTGCTGTTGTCCATGTTTAAATCTCACCAGTTGTTTCAATAATGGCATGAAATCCTTATCCTTAAACCGGTGACTACCAAGGTCATTGTACCATCTTCCAAAGAGATTGATGTGCATCTCCCGAAGAGAAGAAAATCGATTGTGTTCACAAAGCTGCTGAGAGAATCTGTGCCCAGAAATCCCTCTCACATGCTCTGTGCATGTCAGCATTTCTCAGCTGGCAGTGATTTGGGCTCCCAGGGGACACGTGGCAGTGTCTGGAGACTTGTGGTTATCGCAGGGGGCAGGGGGGGGGCAGAGATAGGCTACTGGCATCTTGTGGGCTCAGGTCGAGAATGCCGCTACAAATCCTACCCAGCACAGACAGCCTCCAGCCGCCACAGAGAATTCTCTGGCCCAGAATGCCAGTGGTGCTGAGGTTCAGAATCTCTGAGCTATACATCAATCGGGGAGAGACACCTTCCTCTGCCACAATTGGAGTGCCCTGTGGACTTAAAATCCTCCCCTGCAATTCTATTTCTCCCCCGCTACCCTGGAAAACCGGGTCTTATAGGCTGAGGGAGGCCCAGCCAAGCGTGTTTTATGATAATTTCACACTGGAACTGACCCTCATGCCCCATCGGGAGGAGACTGATAAATAAAACAGTGCAGGCATGCTGTTCTCGTGGCTCTTCTGTACAATGGGGCTGGGGAGGTGGGATTGGAAGGATGCCAGCTACCTTGGGCCCAGCTGCTACTCGATGACTTATGGTCATAACTGCTTCTGACTCACACATGATTGACGTGTTGAGGACACGTGCTGCTATGACTCCAGGCTTTTACAGGCAGGAAGCTGCCCTAGAATGGCTCCCCACTGAAACCCAGGGCAGGGCCTCTGCTGAGTCACCTCTGGCTCAGGGTCTGGCTTCTCAGAAAAGCAGCTGCCACTTCTTTAGTGCCAGCCGTGCAGTAGGCTCAGTGCTGAGTCTACTAGTGCATTGTCACGCTCACAATTCCCACGTGGGGTGAGCACCCGCACTCATCTGTCTTTATTAAAAAATATATATATTTTATTGATTTTTTTTTTTACAGGGAGGAAGAGAGAGGGATAGAGAGTTAGAAACATCGATGAGAGAGAATCATCAATCAGCTGCCTCTTGCTCACCCCCTACTGGGGATGTGCCCGCAACCAAGGTACATGCCCTTGACAGGAATTGAACCTGGGACCTTTTAGTCCGCAGACCGATGCTCTAAACTGAGCCACACCGGTTTCAGCCTGTCTTCATTTTGTGAACGAGGAAATGGAGGCTCACAAAGGTCATGACCCACCGCTGGGAAAGACAGAGTCAGGATTCAACCCTCGCCTGGGTCAGGTCTGCTGCACCTTCTCCTACACAGGGTAGATGCTCAGAAATGTATGAGTGGCAGAGCTGGGACAATATGTTCATTGGGAGCAGAACGCCGAGTTTTAGCAGAAAACATGTTAGCTATGTTAGTTAATGACTACTGTCCTGGCCTTTCTTGCGGCAGTATAGGACATGTGACGAATTCCAGCCGATAGAATGAGAATGGAAGTGGCAGGAGAGATTCTGGTTTGTGCCCTTGAGGGGGCTGAATTCTATTTCCTTTTCTCAACTTGCCAACAGCAGGGACGCAGATGTGATGGCTGCGCTAGAGCAGCCACATTGGGCCATGGGACGGAAACTGCTGGTTGAAGATGGAAGCGTTATGAGATAAGATAGAGCCTGGGTCCCTGGCACCATGAAGCCACCATCCAAACTCTGGCTGCTCCCATTCAGATGATGTGAGAGAGGAAAATTCACTATTTTCTTGTCCAGGAGACACTTGTTCCTTGAGCCTTTCTTACAGCCTTGGACCTATTTCTCACCAATGCATTTATTGAATGATGGAATGGATGATTGAATGTCAGAGAGACAGTCCGATCCAGGCCCACACACATATAAAAATGCACAAAGGCCAAACTCGAGCCCAGGGTGTGAGCATCGTCCAGGTACAGTGGAAACATTCGTGGCCGGGGGTGGCCAGTTCTAATCCTGGCCCTTCCACTCGCTTGCTGGGTTTCCCTGCATAACCCGTGTGCTCTCCCTTGGCCCCACATGCCTCGGTGGTAAACCAGGCTTAGTGAGATCATGGAGTCTATTCAGGGACAAGATGTTCAATGCTCTTTAAAATTTCACTTCCAGGAACCCATTCCCAGAGAAGTTGTCACCTCATAGCTTATGAACACAGGTGCAAGGATACAGCTTAGTTTGTGGAGCAAAAACTTGGAAACATCCTTAGAAGTGATTTATCTTTTTTTTTTAAAATATATTTTATTGATTAAAAAAATATATTTTATTGATTTTTTACAGAGAGGAAGGGAGAGGAATAGAGAGCCAGAAACATCGATGAGAGAGGAACATCGACCAGCTACCTCCTGCACAACCCTCACTGGGGATGTGCCCGCAACCAATGTACATGCCCTTGACCAGAATCGAACATGGGACCTTTCAGTCCGCAGGCCGATGCTCTATCCACTGAGCCAAACCGGTTTCGGCAGAAGTGATTTAAATAAACTATGGTACATTCATGTTTTAGACTTTAGAGCATTAAACTGCAATGGACATGGGAATTCTCTGGTGACACTTGCTGGCACAAAATGACACTGCAGCCCAGCAGCCGAGCAAAGAGAACTTCCAGAACAAGAGAGGTTCCGGGAGCAGTGAGGATGGTTTGGGAAGCCACAGAGCAGGAAAGACTTGGGAGGAAGGCCCGGTCAGGAGGTTGGCCTGGGTGTGGAGGCTGAGAGCATGGGCCTGGGACTGAATTCCAGCTTCACTGATTCTTGGCTGGGTGAGTTTAGGCAGAGTTGGGTCTTTCTCTGAGCCTCAGTTTCTTTTTCTATAAAATATGGACCCGAGGGCCCATCATATAGAGTTAAGTGAAGATTCAATGAGTGAGTGGATTTATTTGATTATTTATTGAGCCAACATTGGGTACCTGTGATGATGGTGATTGGGAATCTCATCTGGGACCTAAGGATATACCAGGACCCAGAGCCTGACCTCATGGAGCTTATAGTCTGGAGGGGGGGAGGGGGAGGAAGAGGACCAGTAAAGAAGTAAGCATATGTATAAGGTATTGATGATATTCTAAAGCAAGCATGTCAAACTCAAAGGCTAGCATGGGCCAGATAAACAAGGCCTAAGTTTATGTGGGCTGCAAAAAAGCAAAAGCTTTAATTTTCATAGAAACATAGGCTTATTTTGATAGAGACATGCTGATTACTAAGAGTTAAAATAAATGAGTAATCATTAACATAAAATAATAGAACATTGCAATAAAAATTAATATTTTTTTCTTGAACATTAACTTATCAGACACTGAATATCTGCACAAATTAATACATGTAATGCAAATAAGCTTACTTTTCTTGTTTTCTGAATGCAAAATATTTCCTGTTGCACACATCAGACAAGTCAGTCCGAGACTAATGATGTGGCCATTGGCTGCTAAAATATTTGCTGCTGGTAGTGGAGAGAAATGGTGTGCTTGCACATAAGGCATGGGAGGGAAATGAATGCAATACAATTATAGTAATCAGTCATTAGCGAATGCTGTAGTTTGTTATTAATAATTATGTATAAGAATTAAATCACGAAGTTTTTATGAAAACATTTCTTACATACCGTTACATTGGGCAGCAAAAATATTTGTTGTGGGCCTCAAGTCTGACATGTTTGCTCTACAGGAAAATGAAGCCGAAGCCGGAGCTGGATCTGTGTGGGCAGAGGCATTGTTACAAACAGACAGTGTTACAGGTGCTCGGGAGGGTACTCTGAGAGGTCTGAGTAGGTGCCTGAAGGAGCTGTGGCTGGTGTTTGTAGTTGCACATGGAACGCCAACGGGGGGATCTGGCTCCGAGGAAGTGCACAGCCAATGGTGGAGCAGAGTCTTAGCTCACAGAGGAAGGGGCTTAGAAGGGGGATTGGCACCCCAGGGTCTGATGCAGCTGCAGAATGAGAGAAGATTCCTTGGGGCTTGGTGTGTGGAGAAGCAGCTGCCCAACCTGAGCAGACCCAGCTCCGGGAGGTCTTGGGCAATCACTGTCCTTTGGAAAGCAGGGTGATGATGCCCACCTGGTAAGGGGGATGTTATGGGCCAAATATGTCCCCCTCCCCTCACAATTTATATGTTGAAGTCCTGACTGCCAGTATCTCTGTGTTTGGAAATAAGGTCTTTAAAGAGGTGACTAAGTGAGCCCTGGCTGGTTTGGCCCAGTGGACAGAGCGTTGGCCTGCAGACCTAAGGGTCCTGGGTTTGATTCTGGCCAAGGGCATGTACCTCAGTTGGATTGCAGGCTCTTTCCCAGCCCAGGCCCTGGTCAGGGTGCGTGCAGGAGGCAACCAATCAGTGTGTTTCTCTCACATTGATATATCTCTCTGTCTTTCCTTCTCTCTTCCACCTTCTGCTCTCTCTAAAAATATCCTCTGCTGACATGTACACACAAGGAACTATTTGACATTGAAACTGGGACTCAGAACTGTTGGACGTTGAAATTGGAACACAAACGTTTTTTGTTATTGTATGTTTATTTCTAGTCTGCAGTTGCAAGATTTTTTAAAGAAAAGAAATGGGGAAAAATAGTTATAAAGAACCATTGAATAGACTGTCAAACTACAGTGGGAAGGCAAGGGAGATTACACTGGCCAAATCTGGGTCAACTGGAGCATCAAACTAAATGATGGTAATGATGGATTTAGAACCCAGGGAATAAAATAAAATCCATACTGGCATCTATAATAATAAAAGCGTCCTTCCAGGTGACCTTATGGATGAAGCTGGGCTGTGAGGGAAGCCGGTGCCGGCAGCAGGGGGAAGGAAAGCCTACTCTTGCACGAATTTCGTGCATCGGGCCTCTAGTAAATGAATAAACAAAGTGGCTGTGTTATTGTAAGATATGCCCACAAATTTGTTGACAGTCTTCTCAAGAAGTGGACTCTAATGCACTTCTGGGCTGGACTCGGTGATTTTCGATTCTAATGACTAGATTATGGCAGAAGGGAAGCTGTGCCGGGAAAGTAGGTCATAAGAGGCACATGCTTCCTTCTCGCTCTCTCAGATCCGTGTCTGGGGGAAGACAGCTGCTATGTCATGAGGACACTCAAGCAGCCCTGAGAAGAGGTCCACGTGGCCAGCACTGAGCTGTCCGATACAATAGCCCCAAGCCACATACTACACGGCTGTTAGGCCCTGGCAGTGTGGCTAGTCCTCAGTGAATGTCAAAGACAGCATGGAAAAAAGATGCCAAATATCTCGTCAATTATATTTTACACGGAGGACATGTTGAAATGAGGTTTTAGGTATATTGGGTTAAGTAAAATATATTACTAAAATGAATTTCACCTGTGGCCTTTAAAACAACCTTTAAATATATATTTATTGACGTCAGAGAGGAAGGAAGAGGGAGATAGAAACATCACTGATGAGAGAGAATCATTGATCGGCTGCCTCTTCTACACCTCACACTGGGGATCGAGCCTGCAACCCAGGCATGTGCCTTGACAGGGAATCAAACTGTGACCTCCTGGCTCTTAGGTCGACGCTCACCCACTGAGCCATACCAGCCAGGCTCACCTGTGGCCTTTTGAACTGTGGCTACCAGACAATTTAAAATGAAACAAACACATGGCTCACATTCTATTCCTACTGGATGGGGATGCTCCAGCCCGGGGGAGCTTTCAGGTAACCACCCCCAGCTGACCCCTTGCTGCGCCTTCGCAGAGACTTGGAGCCAGAACCTTCCAGCCAGACCACGCCTGAATTCCTGACCCACAAAACACAGTGAGAAAATGATGAATATTTTAAGCTGCTAAGGTTGGAGGTCATTTATTACACAGCAATAGATTGACTGGGGGGAGCATATAAGTGGATGTTAAAATCAGTGGGTGAGCCTGGCCGGCGTGGCTCAGTTGTTGAGCGTTGACCCATGCACCAACAGGTCGCTGGTTCTAGTCCTGGTCAGGACACATGCCTGGTTGTGGACTCGATCTCCAGTGTGGGGCATGCAGGAGGCAGCTGAACAATGATGTTTCACTTTCATCAATGTTTCCTCTCTCTCTAAAAATCAATAAAAACATATTAAAAAAAAAAAGTGGTCGAAGTTGGAGGAAACTTAAATAGTTTAAAAATATCTCTCCACAAGGGAGTGCAGGAGGCAGCCAATCAAAGATTCTTTCTCACCACTGAAGTTTCCATCTCTCCCTCTCCCTTCCTCTATGAAATCAATTATATATATATATATCCCCACAACATACATTACAGAGAGAAAAACAGTAGCTTGACAGGCATTACCTTAACCGTGAGGTCAGTGTAGCACCTGCAGAAAGGGACAAACAGCTCTCAGGTGCCTCCTGATGGGAATCATGGAGGAGAACACCTACAAGGAGTGGAGGAAACGTCAGACAGCCCCCCTGGAGGGACGTTCTACGAAGTAACTGGCCTAAACTCTTCAAAAGCTTCAAGGTCATGAATGAGAAAGAAAGACTGAGGAACTGCTCCCAGCTAAAGGAGACCTGGGTCACTATGCACAGACACCAGTTCCCCTCACCCCTCACCCCCTCAGCATTAACTAGAGGCCAGTGTTTGTTCCTCTGTTCGTAAATGCACTCATCTTAGGTGTACTCTAGATTATTTTCAACAAATACATCTGCCTAAGACATTGAACAGGAAGGCGGTTGAATTGATATACTCAAGCCCTAGCCCTTGGTACCTGTGAGTAGAACCTTATTTGGAAATAGGGTCTTGCAAATATAACTGAGCTAAGATGAGGTCATGCTGGATTAGGGTGGGCCCCAAACCCAACGGCTTTATAAGAGAAAGGAGAAGATCTGAACGCAGGCGCACGCAGGGGGAAGAGGGCCATGTGAAGACAGAGGCAGAGATTGGAAGGATGTGCCTCCAAGCCAAGGACTGCTGGCAGCCACCAGCATCCGGAAGAGGCAAGGAAGGGTTCTTCCTGAGGGACTGCAGAGGCAGCGTGGCCTGGTCTCAGCCTCCTGGCCTGCAGAACTGCTGGAGAGTAAATGTAAGTTGTTTTAAGCCACCTATTGTGTGACTTTGTTAAGGAAGCCTGGGAAAGGAACACAGAACGTTTACCACAACTCCGAAAAGTGCCCCGGGCCCCTGCCGTCCGTCCTGCCGACCCCCAGCTGTATCTTCCAGGGCAGATTGCTTTCACTCACTCTGGAGCCTCAGGCCAGTGAATCAGGCAGCACATATTCTATTGTGTCTGGTATCTTGCTCGTGGCACAAGATTTCGGAGTCATCCAGTGGCTGGCATGCCTATAGCCAAAGTCAATTTGCTGGAGGAGGCAGCAGATTTTGTAAGGAGAGGAGTGGACAAGGAAGGTGGGAAATTTCTCATAAAAGTTGGGCTTGGAGTCTCCTGCCCTGGGGGGTCTCTGGCCCAGACTTACCCATCTTTCTCAGCTCTGGTAGTAACTGCGGAGGTTGGAGGCTGGGCCTCATCGCCACCTGGTGGCCTTTCTGGACAACGCAACCACAAGTGCCAGCACTGGGCCAGCTGGGAGGGAGATTGTGGGATCAGGCAAGTGTTTATCTTTTTGGGTCCCAAATCACTGAGCACCTGCCTGATTCCTGTGCGTGCGTGCGTCATGTGTGTGCGCGTGCGCGTGTGTGCGTGCGTGCGTGCGTGTGTACAGTGATGACTTAGATTGAGCTGACCTCCAGGGGCTCCCCGGAGAGCGAGATTACACAAAACTAACCCTGGCAGGGGCGGAATAAGATCCTAGAGGCACGAAGTGTAGAGGATTTTGACTTAGACATCCAGGGGAAGTTCCTCTGGCTATTTCTCAGCTGGAGGTGAAAGGGAAGGGTGTTGGAGGCAGAGGGATCAGTGCAAGCAAAGGTGTGGAGGCAGGACCACGCAACGTACGGCCTTCTGAACTCAAACAAGCAGTAAGGTAACACCTCCCCCCGGCGAGCATTTTAAAGTGCCAGGAGGATGCAGGTCTTGCTCCCCCTCCCACCGCAGGCCCCCAGCCCTTCTCCTGTGGTAGACTCACTGTAGGGACTCCCCGGGAACCAGCCGCCTGGCATGCCCCCCCCCCCCCCTTATCCCCTCCTGCCCTTCTTCTGAGCTGACGGATGGCTGTGATGGGAATGGTGGTAGGCCAGTGTGGGGCTTAAGCTTAAAGAAGGCCGAGCAGCTTTGCAGCGGCCACCTCTGTGCTCTGGGACAAGCTGACCGCCGTGTAAGAAGTGTGGCTGCTGTGCTGGGGAGACCACGTGCAAAGGCCACATGGAGTCACAGCGTGGACCTTGTGCAGGGACCACGTAGAAAGCCACGTGAAGACACCTCGTGAAGAGGCCACGGGAGCAGGAGTCTCTTGGAGAGACCACGTGGGGAGGAGAGACTGGGTCACGGAGGACGGAGGAACTGAGAACTGAGGACTAAGCGGGGGCCAGCCATGCGGAGTTGCCACACGTGGGAACGCAGTCACCGTGGGCGTT